AATAATTTATTTACAGTATATTTACAAAATATACACGAACAAAAATCACACAAAAACCAGTGAAAATGCCGTATGATTAAAGCTTACATCCATATCAATAATAAAACTGACGTTTCACGGAACATCTACGAACAACGAAATTCAAGCGCTCACTGCTTTTAAGCGCTTGTTCAAGTTGGTTTGGAATTTTTCGCGTTCGTTCGTGTTCCTGTTCGTTCTTCTTTGTATTTTGTTGTTCGACATGTGTTCGTGTTCGTTCATTAGGTGTGGACGCACCTTAATAGAACTAGAACTAACAGAACTTTTTTTTATTTTCATTTTTTCATAATGCAAAATTAAAAAACACATACGGTCTTAACTTTTTGACATTTTTTTTTGTTTTTTCATGGACAATCTAAATTTTTTCTATAAAAAGTATTAAGATCGTTTGTTTTCGCTATACCTATTGTTAGTGTTATCACTCGTATATATGTTTCACTTTGCCCGCCATTTTTCTAGATTTCGATCATTTTTTATGTTGTGCCAGCAGAAATAACACCGAAAGCTTCATGATTTACGTGAACACGTCAAGAAAAATTTTTTGCTGATCTTCCAATACAGCTCAACCCATGCTCAACCACCAACCGATATTTGCTATTTCCCACTATAATACGTATGTGCTTTTACTTTTTACTTTTTATACTTATTTTATTTAATATTATTTATGAATATATTTTCCTAACTAAAAAATATATATGTGTAGGTAAGAAAATCCGATTTGAATGATTCAAAAAACTTTCTGTTTGTTTTGACAAAATAATTAATTTTGGAAAAAAAATTGTCTCAATTTTTTTTTCTTTTTTGTTTGTTTGTCGAAAGTAATTCAGATTTTATTTTTAATTCTGGCTAAATAAAATACTTTAATTATTATAAATATTAGCCAACGTAACAGTATTTATAATAACCTATTTGAAAGCATTTAATATTCCCGAACAATTTGTTACGCTGCGGAAAGTTTCATCAATTTGCCGATTTGAATTCCCCTTCCATGTCTTCACAGCCTTCACATGCTTCACTCGTTTGTATATACTCTACTTTTTCCCTCCCCTTCCCCTTCAATGACAACAAACATATATACTCTTCTTTTATCTATGTTCCATTTTATCTTATTATTTCTAATATTGTTATTTTGTTATATTTTATTGTTTTTCTAGTATTATTTTATTATTCAGAAATTTTATTTATTTTATTTATTAATTTTATATTTATTATTATTTGCTTTTATTTTATATTAAATCATCATACTACGGATATTATTTTAATGTAAACTCTATCCTTTGCACTCTTATTTATTTAAATTTATGTTACTAATTATCATTATTGCTAGATGTTGTATTATTTAACAGTTGTAATAAATATTGTAATTAAAAAAAAATCTATGTTCCATGCCTTCACAGTCATTTCACAGCATTCACACATAGCGAATAGTCGATGCCTTCTCTCAGTTTCCAATCTACATTGTGTTTTGATAGTAATGCTTTGTTACTTCATGTCGGTCTACTATTGTGTATATTGTATGTCATGGATTTGTGTCTAACTTTTGTTATTAATGTTTATTATGCACTAATACTATTGACAGTTTAACATCTTTGGATAAAGAAAAAAAATTGAAATCTTAAATTAATAGCTTTGTAAATACTTCACTAACAAATTCGTTTAATCATTTGAATGGTTTTATTTGCTACTATGTAATGTGTTTCGTTAATTGTTACTATCATTCTATTCAACAAAATTACTGGTGACTATAAAATAATATTTGAAACAAAATAAGCGGTTTCTATAGTATTTAAGTTTACAATGGATTCTCACTACTTGGAAAAAGAAGGCTCTGACCTAAGCAGCTTGTTTCAAAAAATTATATTGGACTTGAAGGTACTAATTCTTCTATTTTACAAACTTAGTAATTATTTTAGTTGTATTCAATTTTATAGATTCATAGAATCTATTTAATTCTATTAATCATCTTTCTACATTATAATTGCTGCATAGTCTTGCATGATAATAACAATTTATTTGTGGTAGTGTGTTATTTATGTGATTTGCAATTTTATGAATATGTATGTTAAAAACGTATTTATTAGAAGGAAAACTAGGAATGACATAATATTGTTCTGAATTCTATGATGTGGGCATCACTGTTTCAATTCTGAATGTATGCACAATGGCAAACTGGAACTGTTACCAGCTTCGTTGCTGAAATCTAATTATGCTCAGTGGTATTGTGCTAATTTTTTTTAACAAAACACTAAAATTTAAAAAAACCAGTTTAAAAACTGGTTCTCATATTTGTTTCATTTTGGTTCAAAAATGAAAGCAACATTACAAAATCCATTTTGTGCAGATATATGTATGTTTATTATAATAATATGAACAATTAATAAAAATTAGTTAAATTATAAAATACAAATAATATATCAAACAATACTGCATAAAAACTTGGTTAAGTTTTAACATAAAAACACTAATGGTATTTATAATATGCCAAATTGGATTTTGTTCAGGATCTTGTAGTTGAATTTTCCTTGTTTTGTTGTCTTCCGCTGAACGATGAAAACTTAACCAAGTTTTTACATAATTATTTATGATTAAATAATTGTTGTGGCGGGTCATTCATTTTTATAAATAAAAGATTTGCTAGATTTTCAATTAATATTCTATATCTTTGTTTATTTAAAATAATATTCATATTACTGAATTCGTACTCACACTTGAACTGCAAGGTTCAATATTTATGTATCGAATTAGGATTTCTATATTATTAGGAACTACTTGGCCTCCAGTATCAATATAATCTCTGATTCCATTGATAGATTGCATCAATGATGTTAATTTAAATCTGATGCACAAAGACTGGATTTCAATTTCAATATCTGCTGGCCACTCCCTTGATATAATATTCGAAATTCAATTATAAAATCGTTTTCCGTATGTAGCGATTTTTTAACTTTCCGTAGGGCAGTTATAGTAATGGACTTAAAATCGAAAAATAAAATTTTTGCATTTTTCGACGTTTTGAAGGTTTCTGAACATTTTGGCAAACGTCAGAAAAAATGGATGTGAGTATGTGTGTGTGTGTTTTGTATGTCCGCATTTTTTCGACCAGGTTTTTGGCCGCACGGATCAACCGATTTGAATGGTTCATAAAACATTCGATTCCTATTGATAGGGAGATGTGCTGATTAGTTTTTGGCAAAGGCAGGTCCAGCCGTTACGGAGATACGGAGCGAAGAGTGCAGAATATAGAAATCGAGTTCTTGAGAGAACGGAGTATCCGATTTAAATGATCTAAAAAACATTCAATTTGTAATGATTGGGAGAAGAGATAATTAGTTTTTAACAAAGGCTAAATGTGCAAAAAATGGCAGTTTTTGAAAGAACTAAGCGTCCGATATGAATTTCATTTATGAAATCTCGTTTAACTTAAATTGATAATTTTTGTAAAGGAATAGGAGAAAATGCAAGTAGTGAAACAGATATATCAGAATTTGACTATATTTTAGCGGAGTTAAAGCCTTCTTTGAATACATTTCTGGATCTATTAATCGAAATG